GGTCGCTCAGCAGCTGCTGCACGATGTCGCGGATCAGCTCCGTAAACGTCACGCTCTGCCACTCCGGCAGCAAGTTGTTTGATACCTAAAGTTATTTAGTGCATGATTACACCAAATCCTAAATTCTATATAACACTGAAGGTAAAATGCGAGTTGTTTTTCTAACTAAACTTACGAGATTACTGGCTATCTCCTCCGGGTTGACGTCGGTAACGTCGAATTTAAATGTGACGGTCTTTGACTTGGACTCGAGCTGACACTCGACCACGGTGGCCGCCTCGTTCACCTCCAGCACCGTAAGCTTCGGCAGTTTGTCTTTCTCTCGAGATCGCTTCTTCGAGCCTCGCGATTTCCTCTCGCTGGTGATAGGGGATGGTACTGCAGTGCTGATGGGAGCTGAAATAGTAAGTAGTATCAAGGTTTTTAATGGGAACTACAAACTTATCTGATAATATGCTAGTTCATCTCACCTTCCTGTTGCGCCTCTCCTAACTTTTCGTCCACGGAACTCAACTCTGGAGGCTTGATGCCATCTGGGTGAGTGGACCCAGATGGGAATTCCGTCATTGGAGTCAGAAACTGCTCCTTCTGTCCACCATTGGTAACATGTCCGTTGTCAGATGGCTCGAAAATGCTCAATTGATGTGGTATTGAGTCTTGAACTTGAGCGGAGCTCTGAACTGAAGTCTGTGCAGTAGGTTGACTAGTCTGCTGGACCGTTGGTTGCACAGGTTGTTGTACAGGCTGCTGGACAGATGATTGAACTGTTTGTTGGACAGTTTGCTGAACAGACTGCTGGACAGATGGCTGAATATTCTGTTGAACAGATGGTTGCACTGATTGTTGAATAGAAGGTTGCATAGATGTTTGGATGGTAGTTTGAACAGATTGTTGGACTGGCTGTTGCACTGATTGTTGAACTGTTTGTTGCACTGATTGTTGAACTGGTTGTTGAAGAGGGGCTTGTTGCATTGATTGCATATGCATCTGAGTGGAATCTTGTACATGAGAAACATTTTGCTGCACAGACGCTGCCACCGAGGACGGTATAGTTGATTCCGTTTGATAGGAAACGTTTTGCATCGTCTGAACCGACTGACTCTGCTGTTGGTACATCTGCAGAGGGTTGACAGAATAATTCTGCACCGGAGTGCCTTCATGACTAGATATCTGTCTTTCACTCTGCTGAACTGCACTGAAGTTTTGAGCCAGTATGTTATGAGGGAGGGATTGCCCTTGAAGTGGATGCATTTGATGATGGTAATGGTCCTCCTTTTTCTGCATTTGCATATCGATGTACTGATTTTGATATTGCTGCATTTGATCGACGGACATTTGCGGCTGCAACGGTGGCTTCTGCTGATACTGGTCCTGCATTAGTGGTTGTTGCTGGTCGTGCACTTCGGCTGTGCTTATTTGACTTTGCTCGGACCCCTGTCGTTGATACACCGGCCGTTGCGCTCGCAACATCTCTTCTACCTTTTGCTGCTGTTGTCCCATCAGCTGTTGCTTTTGCGCCAACAGCGCCAAATTCTGCTGATCGATGATGTTTTGTTGTGTTTGCAACTGGCGCTCCTGCTGTGCAAGATATTGCTGCTGCTGGAACAACGTGTTTCTGAAGTGTTGCGGAGAGAGCGTCTGCCCGGGGAGGTGCAACTGTTGCTGACTAAGCATATGCTGTTGGAAGACTAATTGTTGCTGGGCCAGCATCTGTTTCTGCATGTTTAACTGTTGCTGAGCTTGTACCATTTGTTGCTGCGCGTGCGCAACTTGTTGCTGCTGAGCTAAGATGGCTGGGTCGACGGCAGCCGATAATATATTAGGTTGAATGTAATGCTGCTGATTCTGTTGGTATGCGAGGTTTTGACTAGCTTGTTGCATTTGAGATCCCAGCAAGTTGTTCATGGTCTGCTGCAAGGCTTCCTGCTCCTGCTGTCCTGGCGGCGCAGGCACGTCGACGCTCTCTGTGGTGGGCTGCTGGCTGAGGGCAGGTGTCTGCTGCGCTTGCTGTTGCTGCATCATCTGTTGCTGTTCAGATTCAGACTCCTTTCTCGATTGCAATGTGTCAGGTCTCTGTATGATCTGCGCGAGTATATTTTGCAGATTCTGCAGAGAAGGGTCGAGAACCTGACCGGTAACGAGATTCGGCTGAGGACCGGCGATAGCTGTCTCCTGCGCCGTCATTTGCTCCTCCATTTGCTTCTGGTGTATGACTGCCGCCTGGTGCCGCATGATATTCTGTTGCTGCTGTATAATGTGCTGCTGCAGCGCCTGGTTCTGGTTGGTGATTTCATTGAGACCGAACTGCGTGTTGAGGATGTTGTTCTGGTGGAGTTGCTGTTGCGAGGACACTGGCTCGAGCTGGGCCTGCTGCTCCATGAACTGCGAGGGCACATTCTGGTCTAACATCTGCTGGTTGAGGATGTTATGTTCCATAAGTGCTTGCTGCTGCTTGATGTTCTGTTCTAGCGAGGTGAGCGAGGGCGAGATGCGAGCCTGGATCAGGTTGTGTTGAAGGATCTTCATCGCCGTCTCTTCGTTGCTTATCTGTTGATATTGTTGCTGTAAAAGTTGTTGTTGAGTCTGAAGGAACTGCGATTGTTGATCTAGCCTGTTAAAATACACCCTTCATTTACTTAGTAATAATATAACTGAGTAATGTTTTCATGAACATATAAATTATAAGTACGTACTGTACGGCTGCTAAAGTTGGCTGCGATCCCACACCGTTCAAAAGGCCAGCTTTCACTTGGTCCACGGGACTCGCTTGCTGTTGGTTATGGAACATTTTAACCTGAAAGGGAAACTTTAATTATTGTCTCCCCTAACATTTTAAGTTATAGCTATTGCAAATAAAATTGAAAATATATTGACCTGTTCTAGAAGTAACTGCTGTCTGTTCTGCTCGTTGATCAACTCCTGGTTGAACAACATCTGCGCTTTCTTCTCGCTCCTCTCTCTGTAACAAATAAATTTAATTGAACTATTATAAACACTACTACATTTTTACATTTAATAACACCCTAAAAAGCTTGAGATTTAGATAGTTTCATTGATAGTGAAGTTGCAGGGTCAAAGTATTACATATTTTTAATATATTAATTTTAGCGAAGGATGAAATGTTTGCATTGCTTTTCAGTAATAAGGCAAGTCAACTATACTAATATTAGGAAGGGGAAGTTTTGTGCCAAAAAGTTTAATTACTGACATAAAACCGTTTTTAATAGAACACCAGGTAACTACGGTTAAGATATACTATATTTATATTAACGTACAAAATCGCAATTCGACCTGGCGACACCGGGCACGAACATCTAAAAAAATAAATAAAAACAACAATCACAAACTTTCGTTGCGACATAAACTAAGGACGGTTATACACATGCCACCAGCTGGCACAGTTGCATGCAAGCGACTGGAACGTGCCAGCTACAGGTAACTGTGAGCGCTATCTATACCTGGCATGCAAATAGCTAGCATGATATTTGATTTTGTTCATGTGATGCAACGTGCACAAATAGGGAAGAAATTCAAAGATATGTGTATACTTCTAACTTAGGATAGGCTTCGAGCACCTCAGTTGGAACGTATAGTTAGCTGGTAATGATGATTATGCTGATGTAAATGAAGTTGAGGGAAGGGAGGTAGTACGAAACTTGACATTTACACATCTCTTATCGTACGTTCTCATTAAAATTTCAGTATCACGTGTATTCTTGCCTTTATAAGCAGTTATTGTATCGTTTTAAACATACCCATTCAAATTTGCCCACGAACAACACAACAAACAAAAGGTTCATAAAAGTACACTAAAACATAACTCAACAAAAAAACTGATTACTACTTAGACATAGTGTTGACGTTGCACTTTTACTGAGGATTAATTGAGACAAGTGTATACATATCTATGTTACCACAATGAGAAGAAGCGAGATGGCTATATGTCTTACATTTCGTGTTAAATTACCATCAGCACCTTGTCAACATCACGTTTTACTGAGTTCGCTATAAACCACTATTAAATAAAATAAAAAAAAACATTGTAAGAATCATGCATAATGCAGTCTGTGTTTAACCTTCGAAATTAGAAACCACTAATAGTGTATAATAATTAAAATTGAAACCGTTTAGACAAGAGCTCGAGTCACGCAAATCAGAATTACTGTAATCTGAAGGGCAAAGGCCGTGTTATTCATGTTACTGTATCCATGGCAACGTGAAAACTTTGCCAACTTTATACTAATATAAAAGCGAAAGTTTAGATAAATGTTTGTAAGAGTAGCCTAAACGTCTGAATGGTATTCAATGAAATTTGGTATAAATGTAGAGGATAGTCTGGAAGAAAACATATGCTACACAGTTTTGTTTTATTTAATTTCACGCAGACAAAGCCGAAAGTTGGTATATTCTTTGTCATCGTAGGTTAAAGCCTAACATTGTATTTTTTAAATACGTACCCTACGAGAGCATGAAATTCTAGAATAGAATGTTTTCATTATGATAAAACGAGAGTCCTACATCAAGAGAGACATAAACCTGACCTAGCACAATAAATAAGACCGGTTGCAAAGGTGAGTGCACGCGTGGTTCATCCGACCCGCTTGCCAATCGGGCCGTAAGTACGGAAGCTGTAATCTTATATAGGGCTTCATTAAAACTACACGTCCCACATTATTTCTCTTTCGTACAAATAACCAGTTTACAACGTACTCGATAATAAACGATATCGCAAACTTTCATATCAAAGTATTTCGATTTCGGGTCAACGACCTAATGACCTCCAAAAAGGAGGTTGTGTTCAATAGTGTAATATTCATTAAAAAAACACTTTCACACTTGTTTTAATAGAAAAGACAGCAAATATAAAAAGCTTCATTTACACTTATTTATGCGTCATGGTAAAGTATAGTTGCAAAATTTTGAATAATTTTTTATTTATGGTGAAATGTATGAAATAATTTGTTATTTTATAATAATTTTAATTCAAACAACATATAGGTCAAACGCAGTAGAAACCTTGGTAATCGATTGAAACCAGACATATAAACTATATCCGTCCGATATAATCCAAAATTACATTCGAATAATTCGTGTGGCTGAAAAGCTAAAGGGCCTTTGTCACGCGAATTTTGCGCGCGACTACAACTGTCAGATGTCGCCTGTCATGTTGACATTTAACGAAGTCCCACATTGACGAGGCGTAATGAATGTGCACGCAAAACTCTTTGTCATTTTATTATATTTACTTGAGTTTCATGAGTTATTAATATTAGAAAAAAGCAAATTTGAAATACTTAAAATGTAACTTATGTTTACAGTCAAAAACTTAAGTTTTAAAATCCTTGAAACCTTACAAAGATCGCGAAGATCATATCCAATTACTTAAATGGAGCTAAAGGTTTCTTCTGAGAAAAAAATATGCTTTTGTTTTCACACAATATCTTACTATCATACAAATATTATAAATGCGAAAGTTTAGATGGATAGATGGATGGATGGATGGATGTATGTTAGAGTTTGTAGCCTAAACGGCTGAACGGATCTCGATGAAATTTGGCATAGACGTTGAGGATAGTCTGGAAGAACACATAGGCTACTAACTTTTGTCTTTTTGAACTCCACGCGGACGGAGTCGCGGGCGAAAGCTAGTAATATCATAAATGCGAAAGTTTAGATGGATGGATGGACGTTTGTTAAAGTTTGTAAACGCCTAAACGGCTAAATGCCTAAACGGCTGAACGGATTTCAATAAAATTTGGCATAGATGTAGAAGATAGTCTGGAAGAATACATTGGCTACTTGCATTTTTTTTTAATTCCGTGCGGACGGAGTCGCGAACGAAAGCTAGTTTATCATATAACAATGTAAAAGTGGCATAGAATTATAATTCTATAGGTTATAAAAAATATATAATTTAAGCACTGAGTTCGCATCGCATTAACTAAAAATCATGGGAAATACTGTTAATTTCTTTATAAGCAACAATAAATGACATCACAAACAGCATCAAAAACAGCGTATCAAAACATTAAACGCCAGGAAAAACTATAAACGGTTCGGTTTTGTTATCAAGAGGATGTGTGCGTACGATTTTTATAACTTTTTATAATGCTCTAATAAGCAATTAATCTGCACTAGTATTATGAAGAGGTAACATTTGGATTTTTGGATTTTTGCATGTATTTAAATAACTCAAAAACTACTGGGCCGATTATAATAATTCTTTCACCATTAAAAATTGCGTTATCAGTGAGTAACACAAGCTGTATGTTATAATTGACCGAATTTCTAAAAGAAGGAGGTACTCAATTCGTCTGTATGTTTTTTTATGTGTGTTACGGCATATTTTTTTAAATTTCACGTGGACTAAACAACAGCTAATGGTCAATAAAGCTACGAAATCAACGTGTTTAAATATCACAATACTATCTGGTGCACTAACAAAATAACATTTGCAAGTGACACTACAATACGATTGCGAAGTTTGCATATTTGATATATTGGAATAATTTTCTCCAGACAGATGCAAATAAGGACATCTGTAGATGCGAATGTATGACAAGTCAATACAAATATGATCTTAAGACGCTTGCTATAAAGTCGATATTTCTGCAGTCGGTGATATGTACAATTAAAAAAAAACGCGTACGATAATAAAAGCAACAAACACCTTACTAAATCTAAACTAACATACGTTTAAGGAAAATAAATTCGAAATTCATGGCAAATTATTGTTTTCCTCATTTTTTACAACTCGCACGCAACCAATTCTAACATTATGCAAATAACTTGAGTTCCGACATTAGTGGAAGCTACAATAAAAATTCTTCATTTTTTGTGCCTTTTTGGTCTACTATCGGAGTCTTTAAATTCTAAATGTGTGTTATTGTTGAAACATGTTACTAGCTTATGCCTGCGATTTCGCGCGAATAAAAAAATAGCCCATGTGATCTTCCAGACTGTTCTACATCTGTATCAAATTTAATAAATCTGCTAAACCATTTTGGAGATACGTAACAAACATTCATACAAAATTTCGCATTTATATTAGCACTAGCTTTTGTCCGCGGCCCCGTTTCGCGTGAAATTAAAAAAAAAACAAAAGTAAGTATGTCTTTTCCTGACTATCCTGTACATTTAAGACAAACTTCATTGAGATCCGTTCAGCAGTTTAGGCTACTAAGTCTAAGAAACATCCATCCATCCAAACTTTCGCATTTATAATATTAAAGTAAAATGAAGTATGAGAGAAGCATGTTTCATTATTTTTCATTGCAGAATTAAAAAAGCCGTATAACTATTTACTAAGTATTATGTTTTATACGTTACGATATCTACATCACTACGATAAAAAAGCGAAAGTATTTTTACGCTTCAAAGATAACGAGAAATTAGTTCGTAGAAGCTATCATGTTAGAAATTAATTAATGCTGTTATTTTTTCGTATTTTTTGTATATGTTATGTTTGAACATAATCTGTAACTTTTTGTCTAGATTTAATTATTCAATTTTCAAACGTTCTTACATTTTTAATATGTTTTCGCGCCGAAACTCAAGCTCAACACGTATTGGGTAATTTCTCAAAATGGATTATGACTATCGTATGAATTCCAGCCTATAATCCACGCTTAATCTAGGATACACTTTCGCAAAATTTAATCAAACGATTTCAGATAAATAAACTTAGAACTCACTTCAAAATACAGATAAATCCTTAATTTCAATTCACTAATAAATAACATATTTCTCACTTCACACACCTTTGATATTGTAAACTTTAGATTCGTGTACAAATAAACTGTTGTCAAATAAACGCAGTGAAACACGTGGCGTTAACATGGTAGTGATCGGCGACTGTTCCGCTAGCATAGCGCGAAGCGATTTCATTATCGCTGACTTCACTAGGGAGGGGACAATTTTTTGTAATCCTTATCGATATATTTTTAATTTATATATTAACGCCATTTGTATACCTATTACTACCTATTATTTTAATGCAAATGATATAAAATTGTAATTACGTTTTTCACACAAATACAATAAAAATGTTTCGTAAGATAAACAGTCGTAACCCAAACCCGTAATAAATGATTATTGTTTACAGACATAACCGATGGCTTATTAATCTGCTACCACTGTAATAAGATAAATCTAAATTTTAATTACTTATCTACAAGGACACAAAATTTGTATCCAGTAAGATATATCGATAATTCAAACCATCACTAGCCATTTAAAAGTATAGTGCGTGTGCATGCATAGAGCGTTCTTCGGACAATTTAAAGGTCGCATTGTGCACATTAATTGGCAGCTATCGTCACTATCGGCACATTTACTACACAAGCATTGTCTACGAGCTTGCATAATTACTGCTTTGTAGTTAGACAACGTGGCCGGACATGTGAGTAGTTCCGGGGTCAATTCCCGGTCGAAATACTTATTTCATTAGAAAAAATTTTCGTCTAATACTGTAAGCTGTTTATCACCCTATTCATTTGCAAAATTATATTAGTTAAAATATTGTCTAAATGACCTGTAGCACAGCCACGAAACCGAAATGTAATTGAAGCGAAGCGTAACGTTTGTTGTACATTGAGATATGAAAAGTTATAAAGAATAATGAATTCGAGTACACGTCATTAACCTATCTGCTTAATCAAATCGATGTCAGTTTATTCTCCATGATAAGCCGTGACTCATTCGCCATCTGTTATGTGTACTGTGTACTGTGTAATGTGTACTGTAAACTGTGTACTATGTACTGACCGATTGAGCGTGATGAGCCGGGAGTATCTTGTACACGATGTTTCCTCCTCCATGATAAGGTCTGCCTTGGTCATCTGTTGTGCACTATGTACTGTATACTGTGTATTGTGTACCGTGTACTTTGTATTGTGTACTGTGTACTGTGCACTGTGTACTGTGTACTGTGTATTGTGTACTGTGTACTGTGTACTAACCGGTTGAGCGAGATGAGCTGCGACTTGAGCAGCTTGTACACAATCCGCGCGTCCTCCTCCATGATTAGACCCGCTTTAGCCATCTCGTTGGCCACCTCCTCGCAATCGTCCTGCTCCATGTCGAACTCGAACTGGATTGCCTCGTTCTCCTTGTGTGTGTACGACCTGCCATAACAAATATCTATTAATATCTATTACTAGGTATTTCCGTACGTTTTCATCCCCATGATATAAAAATAAGATAATTTTTTTTTACATTTGGAATTCGAATAACAACGAAGGCCTATGACATTGGGTAGCAGTTACCGTTACCATGGCAACCTTGCTTTCTTGATGGTGTCAGCTTGTAGTTTATGGTTTCTTTCCTACGCGAGGGTTTATTTTTTATTATTATATTTACCCCCTGAGTTTAATAGCGTGAAAAACCCTAAACGTATCGAAGTGTAGGGCTTTTAAATAAAATGTGAATTAGGCTGTGGTTGCTGACATCCTACGTCGCTAAGATTGTGTTTCCGCTTTAGTATATTAGTATGTATATAAATTAAGAAAACAAAAAGCCGACTGCCAACTGCCCATTTCTTGTTGACAGTTTCATCTTTGTGCCGCGTGGCGCTAGTGTGGCTAGTTCCGTGCAGAGGTAGCTCCATCTATCAATAAGGTCATCGCTCACCGTTTCTTGGGGTCTATGATCTTGAGTCGGAACTGTATCTTGGTGATGTCGGAGGAGGTGACGAGGTCTCGGCCCACTATCTCCAGCCGCAGGCCGATGTCCTCGCCGAAGAACTCGTGGTTCAGCAGATCTTTTACTTTTGGCCTAGAGAACAAAAGTATAAGGTAAGTATTTGAATTGTGTAACATACATATTTTTTTACTACTTTGGATTTACTACTAGTTTTACCTGAAATCCAATCAAATAAGCAAAAAGTGTAAAAGACAAAAATATGAAATTCCTCATTATTCTTAATAGATCAAAGAAACTGTGTTCCTATCCATAACATTTCTGCAATCTTTTTTATAAGATAATCTTTGATGTAAATGTTAAAAATATCTAATGTACTAAATATAGAACTAGATAATAAGCTTTTATCAATATATTAGATCATCTTATTCCAAAAATTGTTAGTATTTGTGTATATTTTCGATAAAAGCGATGTCAATCTTACCTATCAGTTTTATTTGGCTTAATACACGACTCTATGATGTCCTTCACCTCCGGTATGTTCACCTTGTCCAAACTCTGCGGCTTCACACCCTGAGGACAAAACATTTTATTGTCTACGGTCATCATACTAATATTATAAATGCGAAAGTGTAGATGGATATTTGTTAGTTTTTAGACTAAGTTGTTAAATGAGTCTCGATAAAATTTACCATAGATGTAGAGGATAGTCTGGAAGAACACATAGGCTACTTGTTTTTTTTTTAATTTCACGCAGTTGGAGTCGCGGGCATATGCTAGTATATTCAGATTTACGATATTTGCGATTTAAATTTCAATCAACAATCTATATTCACGGAAATAGCGAAGAAAATTCTGCCTATAAACAGTAAGAGTAAATGAAACGCATATGAAGAGGACATTTACCCTTCCTATGCGTCTCCTCTACCATCAAATCCTTATAAGAAAAGTGAGAAGGGAAAGTGGATAAGGTCTCTGACACACATTCATGAGAGTGTTCAGAGAATGACTTCCATTTGACGCCTATTTTCGTACGTAGTACGTACACGTGCACGTATTCAACGTATACGTACCGAGACGACCTTCTTGTATATCTGCGCGGGGCCGCTGCACTCGCTGTAGGGGTACTCGCCGGTGGCCATCTCCAGCATGCACATGCCGAACGCGTACACGTCCACCGACTCGTCGTAGTGCTCCTCGTACATCTCCGGCGCCATGAACTCCGGCGTGCCTGCACACACATCGTATTAATATTATAAATGCGAAAGTTTAGATGGATGGGTGTATGGATGTTAGAGTTAGAAGCCTAAACGGCTGAACGATTTGAGATGAAATTTGATATATATGTAGAGGATAATCTGGAAGAACACATGGGTTACTTACTTTTTTTTTATTCGACGCGGACGGAGTTGAAGGCGAAAGCTAGTTTATATATAAATACTAGCTTTCGCTCGAAACTCCATGCGCGTGGAACAACAAAATTTTACATAATAGATTTATTTTATAAGACCTAGTGTCAATCAATGATTGTGGTGAGACAGATAGAATCTATTACTTGCTTAGGACAGATAAAACTTTTCTTCTAAAGTAACCAACAATCTTAGTAACAAACAAACAAACAAACAAACAAACAAACACGGTATTCTATCAATATAATGTATGAGAAGATATATGAACTTTAATCAAGACGGTGTTAATAAAATTCTGTGGTCTGTCTACCCCTTACGAGCGTGAATAACTCACCAATAACGGACTTGGCAAAGCTCCTGTTCTTCAACGTAGCAAGCCCGAGGTCGCCGATCTTGACGCTGCCCGTCGTACCAGTTATGAAGATATTATCACATTTCAGATCTCTGCATAAATACAAAATTATTTAATACTGGCTGTTGCTCGCGACTTCGCCTGCGTTAAGTAAAAAAATAGTAAAAACATATCTTAGTGATAACATAGCTTTTTTATTGGTGCAGAATTCGTGAAATCTGCCCAGTAGTTTTTAAATTATTACAATACATACAAAAATTAAAAAATACAAATCTTTCCTCTAAAGAGGAGGAGGGATATTATAAATAATATTAGTTACATTTCATTAAAAAAGCCAAAATTAAATAGATTAAAGTCACATATATCAAAGTAAATTACTTTTCTCTATATTTCATCTTACCTATGAATAATAGGCGGAGTTCTAGAGTGGAGGAAATTCAAGCCCTTGAGTATTTGTCGACACCAAGACTTCAGAACTTTAGGATTGATTTTCTTAAATCTTCGAAGATAACTGTAATGAAAATAAACAATAAATATGACAAGTTAATAATAAAAGGCTAGAATAAAAAAATATTTTTCAAAATATCACAAACTACCTGTTGCTTGCGACTTCGTCAGCAAAATATTAAAAATTAATAAAAAAAAAATAACCCATGTTACTCACTTAGAACGAAGCTTTATAATAGAGTAAGAAAATCGACCCAGTAGTTTTAAAGTTATTTCAATATATACAAAAATACCAGTCATTCCCCTTTATAATTATAGTAAATGTTTAAATCGATGTATGGATGTTTGTTACTACATAACTCTAAAACGACTGAATAAATCCTAATAAAACTTGGAATACAGATAGCTTACAGTCTAAAATAGGTTATAGCTACTTTTGTTAATTCCATAAAATCGAAGATAGCGACATAGTGTCTTACGCTTTAAGAGTGCCGGACAGCATCAGCTCCGTGATGAGGACGATGTTCTTCTTCTTAGCGACGGTGCCCTCCCAGTAGTTGTAGAAACGCACGATGTTGGGATGCTGAAGTTTCTTCAACATATCAGCTTCCTCACGGAAACGAAGACGCTCCGTTTTGTTCAACTTTTTCTCCTAAACATACACAATTTATGGTTAACATTAGAATCTTACTAATATTATAAATGCGAAATTTTAGATGGATGGATGGACGTTTGTTAGAGTTTGTACCGTAAACGGCTGAACAGAACTCGATGAAATTTAGCATAGATGTAGAGGATAAACTGGAAGAACACATAGGTTACTAATTTTTTTTATTCCACGCGGACGGAGTCGCGGGCGAAAGCTAGTATACTATTATTATAAATGCAAAATGGATGGATGGTACTACATAACTTTAAACACGAGAACTCGATGACATTTGGCATTAAAGTAGTACATAGTCTGGAAGAATACGATTTCGCGAAGTCGTGGACAAAAGAAATATTATTCAAAACAAAATATTATTTGAAACATAAGTAAAGTTTAATAAAAGCAATTATTAAGAAAATAATAATCTATTGTTATATGATATTAAATAATTTAAATTATTAAAAACCTTACCAACAACTCGCACCAAGCCACAGCGACCCCTGTCTGCGTATCCAGTCCATGGTACACAGTCTTGAAAGAACCTCGGCCCACCTCTTTATCGTACTTAAAAAACCTTAAACAAAAAAATACATATAAAACATTTCAACAGTGGAAGCGCGCCCTAATAAAAACATAAACATACCTTCCACACGGCGATACACCAATCGGTTCCTCTTCATCTTCTTTATCCTGCTTCTGCTTATCCTTCTCCAGGTCCAATTTATCATAGATAGGACCGTAAACCAAACCTATACACATAATTAAGTTTTTTAAAAACAAATAAAAAATAATGTATTGACAAGTGTTGTTTGTAACAATGTATCAATTACTATTTGCAACCGGTATAGTTCGATTGTTAATAAATCCAATGAATCACGATGCGGGCTTAGTAATGTATTATAATATCCAAACTTTATAAACGCTCGGAATTAGACGAGCATGTCTTTACAGGTAATACTAAGTAAGCTCACTTGGGGTGGAAAAAGTAATCTTTTTATCAGATATTATCCGTGTCAATCTCTTTAAGGGTTCAGTCATATGAATTAGGCAAAGTATCTTTACCGTATCTTTTTACCCTACGCTACACCTTTATGTGTTCTACAGGTTGTGCGATAATTCAAACGATTACAAAGTTTGGACAGTACTATATTTTGATAAAGTAAAATGGGAACAATGATTCAATTACAAGAAATTGGTGCAACTTGCGAAGATACTGAGAAATGTACGTTATACGACTCGTGTAAAAATAAGTCACATCCCTAATGAAAAGTGTCGAAATCTTTTGGTCATTTTTCATTTTAAATGCATAGTAATTTCGATTAAATACAAACTAATCTATACTAGTATTATAAAGAGGAAAGATTTGTATTTTAGTATGTATTGAAATAACTCTAAACTACGGGACCAGTTAAAAAAACGTTATCAGTGAGTAAAATTGGCTGTGTTTTTATTACATTTTAATTTCACACAGACGAAGTCGCGAGTTTTACATAACTATGAACATCATTAAAAAGGGGATATGGAGGAAAACATTTTCACAATTTCTATCCCATTTTAAATTAAGGATGGGTCTAGAATCTAAGTTCTAGAACCATTCTAGGTTAAACAGTATACATTTATAAAGAAAATTTGTTTTCAATAATTGTAACAAGTTTTAGATAATATATATCTTATCATATAGTTGTATATTTCATTGAACTTGACATAGTACATACATCTAGTATGTAATATCAATGGAATCAAAAAACATTATAGTATTTTTATTATTACTTCTACACTAATATTATAAAGAGGAAAGTTTTGTATATATGTCTGTATTGAAATAGATAAAAAAAAACTAGCTGGCCACTTTTTTATAAATATTTCACCAATAAATAGGTACGTTATCATTGCATAATATATTACTATATTATTTATCAATAAAATACTAGTTTTCGCCCGCGACTGCATCCGCGTGGTGTTTAAAAAACAAAAGTAAGGAGCCTATGCGTTTTAGACTGTCCACTATGCTAAATTACACCAAGATCCATTCAGCCGTTTAGGCTACAAACTCTAACAAACATCCATCCATCTAAACTTTCGCATTTATAATATTAGTAAGATAAAATAAGATTTATTTTCGCGCGGACGAAGACATGAGGAACAGCTAGTTATTAATTAATAAATCTACTACCATATTACATTACATTGACACTTGCTTTACATAATTATCTCGGTTTTCTTGAGGCTAATGACGTCACTTCAGGATAAATCTCAAACTTCTTAAAAATACCCCAGAAGTTTTGACTACGTGCTTATATGCATATACGAATATTACTAATAGCTTGTTTATTTACCATTCTGTTGTTCTTGTGGCTGTTCACCCCCCGTGTCGTCGGCGTGAGGCAGACCTTTTTCCGTCGCTGTGGCTATTTGAATATTCTCTTCCTGTAACAAAAAAAATAGGAAATTGATAGATTCAGTTTGTTTTACCAGTGTTTTTTTATCATAAATAAAGAGTAAATAACATACATATAAATATAATAAAGCAAAAACAAATTTTTATTTTAACTTAAACTAGCTGTTGCTCGCGACTTCGCCCGCGTGAAATTTAAAAACAAAAAAATAGCCTATGTTACTCACAGATAAATTACCTTTCTGATGGTGAAAGAATTTTTAAAATCTGTCCAGTAGTTTTTGAGTTATTTCAATACATACAAAAATACAAATCTTTTCTCTTTATAATATTAGTATAGAAGTATAGATATAGTTTAAAAATTAGTCAAAAACTCCTAACCTTCATCGTAATTGGAAATTGTTAAAGTCTGTTAGTAACAACTTATAATGCAATTAAACCGCGGTTATAAATAAAACTATATGCCAGCGGATGTTAGTTATATTCCTTATAAATATATTGCGAAATAACAACTTAGATTCGACATGCCGTATCTCAACTTCCTGTGACAGGTATTGCAAAAATATATATCACTTTTTAATATTTTAACCGTCACGTATTTACATTTAGTTCCTATTTCCACTTGCTATTCCATGACTCTTGAAAACCCATACAAAGCCGCAAACGTTGTAAATAAATAGTGAAATGCACTTATAAAGTCCCTAAAACTGTTCTGTTTATAAAACCCATATACAATAATTTGAATCCAGCTTTGGCGCCAGGGGGGAGGGGGGGGGGGTCACATGGTCGTGGTCAAGTCAAAAACTTGAAGAAAAATGTAAATATATTTTGACAGGCTCTTGACCAAACATAAGGGGTTGTCATGACCCCCATTACCCCCCCCCCTCTAGATCCGCTGTTGATCAAAACTACCTGCACTGGAAGAATTTGAAATGTATCTAAATGCCCAAAAAACATATTTTGACTATCTTAAGAGACGGTAAACTTTCTCTTTAGTAGATTAAACATATGAAATAAATAAGGGTATCCCATAGTGACCGATTCTGAGTACGTCAGTTGGACTATAATTTTTTTATGTCGAATACAATGGACTTTACTATTGATTATGACGTCACGGTAGGTCATTGCTGCCGTTATCGTATTATCGTCACTAGGTAGCAAACGATAACAATCTTATCACAGACGCCATGGTGATAACTGATAACGGACCAAGATAACCATGGAAATTGAATTCTAAATAACGAAACATTTTTTAATGGAGAGTATCGAGAAAATATGCATGAAAAGCTAAGACAAAATTCATTACGGTAAAGTAATCTTACTAATATTATAAATGCGAATGTTTGAATGGATGTTAGAGTTTGTAGCCTAAACGACTGAACGGATATCGATGAAATTTGGCAAAGACGTAGAGGATAGTCTGGAAGAACACATAGCCTACTTCGTTTGGTTTTTTTTTAATCCCACACGGTTAGAGTCGCGGACGAAATCTAGTATACAATTAAAAAGTAAATTTTAAACATAATTCACAAAATATTCATATCATTTTTGACTTTCTCTCTGTAAATATTCAAGGTCTTTCATATTATTTAGATTCTTTTATATTTTCTTTTTATTAACGGGCTGTCATATTGGAGTTCGTAATAATAATAAAGTCACTATATTATTAACCAACGAATATGAGTTTCCACGTACCAGATCCTGTTCGGAGATGAAAGCATCATCCTCGAGGCGTGCGACGAGCTTGTTCCCGCTGTCGTCGAGCTCGGGGTCGCAGCTGGCCAGCGCGCCCTGCCCCGAGCTGCGCCGCCGGAACCCGCCCACGCCCACGCCCACCACGGGCTGGCTCGCCTGCAATACAATAAACCAACTTTACAAGTACTTGTGATACAATTTACCAAAGCAGAACTGAAATATGTAAAGAAATAAAATAAAAAACAAATTTGTAATTTAAATCGTAGATACTTATTTTTTCAAACTTTAATCTTACTAATATAAACTTTCAATTTGGATGGATGGATGTTTGTTACGAGTTTCTAGGCTAAAGTGCTGAACAGATCTCAATGAAATTTTTAGCATAGGTGCAGAACAGTGTAGAAGAGCACAAGGCTACATACTTTTTTCTTTATTCCAAGTGGATAGAGTCGCAGACGAAAACTGGTGTTTTATATTTCCATATCTTATAATTAGAAATAGTATTGTGTGATTAGATTAAATTCATAACATATTTTACTTTCTACGAAGGTAATGACGTTTGTTTATAAGTTTCGTATTTAAATTGGCACAGAGTATATAAATGTTTACTCACAACACTGGTGGTGAGTGTGTTCAGCATATCGAAGGTGTTGCTCTGTTGCGTGTGGATTATAGCGAGCGCGTTGTACGGCCGCGGGCCCAGCACAGGCGGCTTCAACACGCCCACCTCACCGCCCATTACCACCTAAGCACAAAGTTAAATAACTAAGGTAGTGGTTTACGAGTCTATAAGAGTAATCAAGTAATACCTCAGTTTAGATTTTGTCTGGGAAAAACCATAACTGTTAGGATTTCTTACAGCGCTATTTTATATGTCTTGAGGTAAGATCTGGGTTAAAAAACACTTTTTTTTCTGATCTACAAGTATGCTATGTGTTGTTTACCTTGAATGTCTTCTCCTTGCCATGCACGGTCTTCTCCTTGGTGGGCAGCACGGTGGAGTCAAGATGGTGCGCCGGCTGCGAGATCTGGTGGCCGTGCCCGTGCAGCCCCGATGTCATCTGACGTCATAACGTAATAGTAATTAGTAAAACAGATTTGTTTTGCACAACAAAATATCTAGACTTCAATGCTCTGTGCTTGTTTTAGATACACAATTTTCTTGTTTGGCGATTTACTTCAAGATGCAACTTTCTATCTTCGATACTCTATCATCATTATGACTCTGTGTTTATATCTTGACAAGTTAATGTATACTTTTATCGAATTATCTACAAGGGCGGGTTTTTCAGATGCTATCCGCCAGTATTTTTTTTAATTTGTCGCTATACTACAAAAGTTTGTCAAAGTAAAACTCCTCTCTCATTTAGTTTCACGGAGATTTCCAAAAATATTGTCACCTGGATATATACTTTTTCGTTCTAAGATAGATGAAATATTAAATAACTGATTTAACATCTTTAAAATTCTTAATTATGCACTATCTATGAAGACAAAAAAAGACGCGCGAAAATCACAAAAACAAAGCATCCATTGAGAGACCAAACGCACACGCAAGTACGCACCCAACGTGCGCGCGCTTCGACGTACGCGCGTGCGTGCGGCCGCCACAGGCAACGTGCACTGAGCAAGGATCGCGATAACATCTCCCAACTTATCTACACATCTGATGTAACATTCCGCGATGACAGAAAAGGTCACGCTAGAATTACAAGTTACGCTCACCGTAATTAGATACTATTACATGAATTGGGACAATCTGTCGAATCATCGCGACAAACACTACACCGCTAGAGTCTAGACATTGGTCAACAACTTTGATTTATGAAATATAAACCATTATATAAGCCATTATCCCCCCTACCCTATCTGACTCCCGTAAGGTCGGCATGACGGGGATTTGTACTCCAAACAACTCTCAACTATCATCTCAGTAATCACTCCCTTCTTGATTTCCTCTTTAACGCAATCCATATATCTCTTTCTAGATCTACCTCTACCGGTCTACCCTTCCACATTCATAACTAAACATACATAAATTAATTTTATAATGTACTTACTCAACTTAGTATTAAAACTGCAAATATCAGTCACAGCTCGGTTGTAGGTTTTATAAACGCAAATAAATCAAAGAATTGCCTATAGCTTGTACTAGTATGGGCGCACTCTCGCCTGCAAATAGTTTGATAGCTTCAACAATTGGAACAAATGAGTGCGAGAGTTAGCGCACCAGGATGTACTGGCCACGTAACTGTATGGGAACGGATTATCCTGTATAGACGTTTAACTGACCTATTCATACGCTGACGTATCAAGAGAATCACAATTGGGGACAGGTTTTATCTGACATTTATCTCGAACTTAGAATTTACTTGAGGTATAAAGGATAATGCTGAAACGAAACTATTGTACAAACACCTGTCTCTATTTCTTTATGAGAAGAATGTACTTTAACTATTTTTCCCATTGGACCTATATTCCATAGTATCTATTCGACAAATAGGATATTTACTCATAAGATCGATTGGTCAACCCAACGGGAATCATCCGTTACTTTAACTTACTGTCTGCTTTTACATTCTATATCGGCGGAGACATCCTTGGAGGAGGAAACTTTAACGAGGACAACAGGATAAAAAGGTTCAATTACTATATTATTAATTGCATTTATTTGCAAATAATTTGAATATCGAAGAGAAGTAACGAATAAAAAAAGTAAATTGAAACAGTAAACAAATTTCAAAGAATATTCAATCACTGTCCAAACAATTGTGGAGAAGGTACAGAAATAGAATGTAAACATTATTTTTTCTGGTTTGTGCAATATTATCGGTAGAATGCTGCATTGAAAATCACATATGTATGTAATATTGAATGTTGGTAAGAACATATGATCCTCTATACTAACATTATCAAGGGGAAAGATTCGTATTTTTGTATATATAGAAATAATTCGAAATCTAATGGGATGATTTCCAAAATTCTTTCAACATTGAAAAGCTACGTTATCACTGAGTAACAAAGGTTATATTGTTTGGAGTCGCGAGCAATAGTTAGTTAGTAATATTTAAACTAGAGTCCCAATTTTCTTTCATTTGAGAACCTTCAAACTATCCCTTCATTGTACTCTCTACAGATATCTGTATACCACGCATTACTCTGAACCATTGTGATAAATTATTTAGATCAAATCTTAGGAGAATTAGACGCTATCAGGAGACATATTATTATCATAATTTATTTCTGCTTAAATTTTTTAAAATTATAATCGCCTCCTATAAGCAACTACGTAACGAAGACGTCAGCCGAACATTATCTTCTTCAAATTTCATACATAGTACATAGCTGCATCGCTATTTTAGTCCGATAAAAAAAGTTATTGCGATATTTTATTTATGACTGAAAATATTGGCAGAAATTCGATCGGAAAATTTCTTTAATAAAAGAAAGTTAAGAGATTTACGACTCTGTTGAGGTGCGGATTTTCTAAAATTAAAAAAATGACGAAGACAGCTGCCGAAAAAAAGAAAAAACACACTTTTATACTTTCCAATTTTATGAATAGAATTCTTATTGCGATTACAGTTATCTATATGTATACTTAATACTGTAAACAGGGAAAATCTGTATTTTTGCATGTAACTAATAAACTCAAAAGCTACTATAACGATTTCAATTCTTTTACATTATCTACAGTTTACAGCTATAATTCCGCTCAGACGAAGTCGCGAGGAAAAGCTAATATGTGAAAATTTATAAAGGATATTGGCCGTTATTGCTTTGTAAATAAGGTTTAGTCCACATACAACACTAACACGATATATTTATAAAGTTTGTACATACTATAAAAGAGGTCATAGTTAAGAGCCTTGGTACATAAAGCTTGTAAGTCTTCGCGTAGAGATTAATTCTACTTATATTACTGCATTTTTAATGTCGCTGTTTGAATGTGCGATAGCAAAATCTAACAAACAGCAAGCAAAGCCGCACAGATATACTGGCCTACTTTTCAGTTCATCCGCATTACATTTTTCATGTTGATTCGCTTAAAATTTAAAGTTCGTAACCCAAGCCAGACTGTAATCTATCTCTGCGCCAAATATTATTAAGATCTGTTCATCCACTTCGAAGTTACATGGTAACAAACTTGTGACTTAATCGATATGAAATCTAAAATTTCACATTTAAAGCGAGCGGACACCTTTGACTAAACTATCGACAACCGTTTTGCGATTGTCGATTGTTTCGCAGCCAATTCAACTGTTAAGTTACACTACTAAAAATCGAGTTGTGTGCACCTCCATGTAAGGTCATAAGAATCTTTGTGCGATGCTTAGTTTCAGATGTGCGCACGCTCATATAATATTCAAATAAGAAGATATTTAGATATTTTATGAAACGCTAAATGACAAATCGATGGCTCCTAAATACCTTTACACAATAATAAGATAAAAGACAACAAAAAAAGTACACTTCTTTCTCTTAATGTTTGTCTCAGACAAATCAGTATTTACAAAGTTACTTAAATCCAAAACAAGGTGAAATTGCAAAACGCCTCTAAAATTATATCCTAACGCGAATATGTATCACTAGCTTTCGCCCGCAACTCCGTCTGCGTGAAATAAAAAAAAACCAAAAGTGAGTAGCCTATGTGTTCTTCCACACTATCCTCTACATCTATACCAAATGTCATAGAAATCAGCAGTTTAGGCTACAAACCCTAATAAACATCCATCCATCTAAACTTTCGCATTTATAATATTACTAGCTGTTGCCCGCGACTTTGTCCGCGTGGTATTAGAAAACATACGAACTATATAAATATCAAAAAGCTACGTATCCCTCGGGAACCGGACATTTCTCGGGGATGAACCTTATCCCATGTGTACTCCAGACTTTGTTTTATATCTTTACCGAATTTCAATAAGCTATGTTGAACCGTTGCAGAATGATCGAGTAAACATTAAAAAACTAAATTAATGAATCCCACGGGAACTGTAACTATTCCCGGGATAAAAAGTAGGCTATGTGTTCTTCCAGACTATGCTCTAAACCTGTGCCAAATTCTATGGGGATCCGTTCAGCCGTTTAAGCTACAAACGCTAACAAACATCCATCTATCCATCCATCTAAACTTCCAACAGAGGTCAAACTCTACAAATTACAAATTAAGTGGAAATATCTGTTTACTTATCACCTATACCTACGAAACTGCATAAACTAAATAATTTTTCCTGTTGCTATTAGTTTTTAAGAGGTCAAATATGTGCTTGAAAACTTGTTTACTATGCACAAAGGCTATTTAAGTATAAACCGCAAAATTGATTCGATTTCTAATAAAAAATAAACCTAATCAGGCTGACGTAGGATACCTAAATGCAAGGATCTAATAAAAAAATCGAATTATAGTTTATTTTTGTCTACCCACATATTAAATTACATCCAGTTTTGTCTTATTTCACAATATTAATAATAAAAAAAACTTTCCTATGGTTGTCATACCCGTTATTGATTTTTTCCAACTTATATTTACACAATACGACAGTGTGTGTCCAGGAAACCTGACTGTTTGTCTCTTACGTTTCTCGGAATATAACAATTACGCGAGAAATGCATGATTTTAAACGGTTTATACTTGTCCCGTTTTTTAAAACTCTCGATACATTTGTATTGATATTACCGTCCCTTTCATTATCTTTAAAAAAAATAGAGACTAAAATATTTTAACACCAGTTACGCAGTAGAATTACACTAACTGAACTAACTTGCTGAAATTCACATTAAAACACTAAAGGCCCACCACTGGCTGATAGAGGCTCAGATAGCTTAAAAATGACGCCACTGTCAGATAAGGTAACAAAATATTTCCATTACATGTTTTACACGTTGGATTGTTATCAGACAATTTACTATTTGGTGGGACAAGCCCTTACGCTCTATATCTGAAACGACATTTAAATATATAACAACTAAATAAGCCACACTAATATCAAATTGCATTAAAACTTTGACGTCTGTTAATAAGCGGTGCTGAAGAGAAGTGTGAATCCTTTTCAGTATTCGGCTGTTAGGCGGTTCGAGTATCGCGGAAACAGATACATGTAAAAGAACTAACGGTCACAGAGAAGTCTTCACTTAGCACTTCTTAAGTATTGACTGGCAGGTTGCGCTAAACACGTCGATGGAGTCTATTTTAAATCGACAATGTTTGTTATATACTTCAATATATAAAATAAATTACTGTTTTTCTTTTTGTAGAGTTACAACCTGTATCAGTTAAGATTAGGTTTAATGTAGATGAACAAAATTTCCACCCAGAATACCTTTGCAGTATTACCCTAAAAGCAGACTTAGTAGAGTAGTATTAGGTTGACAATTAAAACTATTTTAATCGCAACCGAATACCGATCAAAGCCAGGAAGCAACAGTCAGTTAATTTTATTAGATCATTTGTTGACTGACGATCAATTATTTGGTCAGCAAATTCAGCTTCGAAACATTAGCACTATCTTGTTTGCGACATTGTGTTATTTGCCCACGATTCTTACGATATAGTGTTGCAGAAATCACTACCACAATATTACATTTAAAAAAACTGATTCCCTTAAATCCTATCCCATTGTAAAGTTTTACAATTTTCTGATATAAATAACATGGATTTCATATTTCAATAATCAATAATTAGTACCAAAATTCGCAATGCAGATATCTCAAATATGTAAGTTCTACCACATTTCAACCCTTACCGCAGTTATCAACCTAATTTTCATTCACCGCACAACCGATACCCCTAAAAACTCAATTGGATTGAAACATTAAAATAAAAGATAACAGTTTTGAAAATGATTGTACCTCAATAACATACCATCACGTATACAAATAGCAGTATTAATTTTGTACGTGACAGTACTGTTCCAAGTATAATGCCAATCAAACTTAATGCTGGCTCGGAATTTCGAACGAGAAGCTACACAATTTTATGTATCGAGTAAAAAGGATGCTGGGGTAACACATCTACCTCGAGCCCTATAAAGATTTGAATCATAATATAATAGTACAATCACGTACAATCTAAGCGCCAATGAGTCAATCAGTTGCAAATCGGTGTGATAAGGTGCCGAAGCGTAGACGTCACGTCATGCCGCTGGACAGACCGCATTTTTTCACCGCAAACTATTTATAGACACACGCATTTTGCTGACGATAATAAAAACAATCACTCATTACATCATACGAATATTTTTTAAGTCTTTATACTGATGTTTAAATTAAAGTTTACAGTACAATTCTGTTCATAAAACGATTCTATTTCCGTTTAATAAGTCTTAAAGTAATAAAGAAGTTACAATCAATTTTTTTTGTCAAAACATTATCGTATATCGAATATTAACACGACCATGAGTTACTAGTTTGAGCTGCAGCTATGTATATCCTATTTATTTTCACACAAATCTATTAATACCTTTAATTAAACTGCAGTGTCCTATTTTATAAATAGGTTTTCTTCAAGTTCGATAGTTCAAGTGATTTCTGGCTTCGTGCCACCAAACATAAAAATCAATGAAAATTGCATGAACAGTTTTAAATTATAATTGTCTTTGATTTTGTCAATTAATGTCAATTAAATCTATCTAGTAATAATTATATACTATACTAGCTGTTGCTCGCGACTTCATTCGAGTAAAATTAAAAAATATAGCTTATCTTACTCATCGTTATTACCTTTCTAATGATAGAAGGAATTTTTAAAATCTGACCAGTAGTTTTTGAGTTATTTCAATACATACAAAAATACAAATCTTTCCTCTTTATATTAGTATAAATAAACTCACCTGTCCATATCGCGAGGAGGCTAGGTGGACATTCCGATTCTTCAATGAGAAGTCTGGCCGCTTGCCCAGCCCATAGCTGCTTTTATTCTGCGAGATGAATTTTTTCGACCTATCCAGCCTCTCCGAAGACCCTGTGTCCGTCTCCTCATCCCTCTTGGATGTCGAGGGGATGCCCCGGTACGCTCCTCTTGTGCCCCTGATCGTTTTCTCCGGGCTTTTATCCTGCTTCCTTGTGATTAAATTGTCTTTCCTCTGTTTAGTGCTACGTACTGACACGTTCGACGCCATATTGTCCATACTTTTCCCATCAAATGACTATAAAAACCCGTCAGTCCCTTATGTAAAGTTTGTTATCCATTGTTATGTCAAACTGTACTAAAAACCTAACTCGGCTAATGATTAAATAAGAATAAATAAAACTCAAACTTCATTACAATCAAGAAGTAAAATAACTTGTAATATACATTTCTGAACCCTTAATCCTTTATATTCAGGATATATGTTGGGCCGATGAAACAAAATTTACAAACTATATATTAATTATTGAATAAATAAATATCTAGTTCCGTCTTTTGATTCTCTCTCACAGTTGTCATCCCCTAGCGACTCCATACATTCGTTAAACAAAAATTCATTTAAAATCTAAATTGTTACAGTCTTGTGGAAGATTTTGGAAAGTTGTTGCGGGATCGGACTTTTGTTTGATGTTATCTGTAACAAATAAAAAATCTGTAAGAATATAACCAAGTACAAGTTAACTTAAACATGTGTACCATCTTTTACTAAAGTGTGTTTAAGTAGTAGCTTTTAATAACCCAGTTTTCTAGTCCCTAAACCCTAACAAAAAAGTTTCTTCGTATGGAATTGAACCTAGGACCTTTAACATGTACTCTAACCACTGAACTACAAGGTTACAACTTTAAAACAAGCTCTGACTACCAATGAAGGAATGACTAACAATGCAGCCTGGTAAAAAAAATTACGAATGTATTGCACGAAAAACTGGCATACGGATGTTTTTATATGGAATGGTATCCGAATGAATTTATAACTTTGCTAAGGTTTCCTTAATAACATTTTTTTTTTACTTATTTGTTTTTTGTTGCGACTGATTATGAACCAGTGTCGTAAATTATAACACAAAAAAAAATTAAAACCACATAAAAGTGTTTTAGATATTCTACTTTACTATTTTACTAATAGTTTATTTTACTAAAACAGTAGAACCTCGATAACTCGAACCTCGGTAACATAAAAACCTCTAACTTCAAAAAATAATATATTCCCTTCCCATCAAAGCAGAACCTCTACAACATAGACCCTTGATAACTTAAAACCTCTATAACTTAAAATATTTTGTGTTTCCCTTGGACTTTAAGTTATCGAGGTTCTACTGTAGTTGCAAAATTACTGCAATACCAAAAAATAACTGAAATGTAACAATATCAACAGAAAAAAACAGGCAGAAGTTATCAAAACTATTACCTCAAGCAGTTTTTTTTTATTATTATTATATTATTATAAATAAAATTTTATCAACAACTAATTAATTAATTCTGGAAATATTCACAAATGTATAAATAATTTTTATCTTAAATCTTAATGGTCACCAACTGAGATATGCATCTCATAGAGTGGGCAAACATGCATAATTAAATTTGATAATAAAGTCCAGATAAAATTCTATTCATAGTTCTACTAAATGTGAACAGAATATACGGCAATAAATTGCAATAATAATGTGTAATGTACAAAAACAAAGAAAAAAACCTTAATGGATTAAAATATAAGGAAAAATGTTATTTAAGAAACATTAATAAAAAAGCATACTATGTCTATTAATTTGTTGTTTAATGTTTTATTGGGTAATATTTATGCAAGAGTTATGTAAATTAAGTATTGCTGTATGTTATTTTCAAACATATATTAGAGTATTATTAACATTAGTACTTATATTATGTATGACCATTCTAACTAAGCTGAAAGCTTTAACTAGAATTTAATTTATATATTCACTCAAATGGTTTGTACAATATTGGTACATCCTCTTGTACAAAGAATCTATAGTATTTTTTTGTAGAAATGAGAAATATTAAACCTATCTAAACAATTTTACCTACATATGCAATAACAGACTTAAAAGATCATGTTTGTAACATAAATTTAAACACTGAAACTTTCTAAAATATTATTTCTTACTAATATTATGGAATGCAAAAGATTAGATGGATGGATGTTAGTTTGTAGCCTAAACGGCTGAATGGATCTTGATAAAATTTAGTATAGATGTAGAGGTTAGTCTGGAAGGACACATAGGCTATTTACTTTTGTATCTTATAATTCCACACAGACGGAACCCCATGCAAAAGCTAGTTGACAATAAATGACATCAATCAATGAAATGTGCTAAAATAATTTTGTTTTATTGAATTTAACTATAATTATAAGTAACTTGATTTATCAAATAAATCGAGACCATAATATTAACAAAAATCTTAATATTACCTATTATGTTACATACCAGTCATATATAATTAGACAGTATATGTGATGTCTTATGTAAAAAACAAACTTAAAACCTTGAAATGTTATGTTATGGTTTTTTATCCATACCAAAATTAGATTACTTCTGTATTGTGTCACATGGATTTTATGTGTTTAAATAAAAAGTATAAATTATTTACACATATGAAGCCTAGTCACCCTAACTACTACCTAGGGTAGGATCCAAGCTTCTCAGTGGAGATGTATAAACTAAGAAAAAGATTAAAATACAAGATATATCCACTGGCAGTGACTATATTTTTTTTTTACATATCCTATTTATGTAATATTTAAAATAGTAATGGTTTTTACAAGTGACATGATGGCTACCAAAGTGATGACTAAAATAGAGTTAAAACATTTCTAATTTGATTATAATGAGCAAATGGTTCAACCATGACTCAGTTTATTTACAATACAATACAAATAGTAGTCATGTATGAACAAGGTTCAACTTATTTTACCAAGATCTTAGACAGAATATTGTTTAAAATCTAACTAGACATTTAAATTGGTAATAAAGAAACTATGTTTATTTGCTTTGGTTTGTAGTAATTTTCTTAAAATGTTACTAAGTAATGCTAATAAATGTAATGTTTACTATTATAAATAATTAAAAACCAAACATTAATAACTTTATTTATAATTTGTAAGACAAATTATTTTGTTGTAAACGTTGTAGAAGTGTTAATATTTACGAAATCGTATTGAATAACATCAATCCGAGATGTCGCATTGGAAAACTAATTTTAAGACTCAACTGACACGTAAGAGGCCCGAGGAATGCAGCACTACCAAAACAAGTCACCAGCAGATCGATCTGTGTCCACCGTATCGGGAAAACAACATAAATAACAATCAATTAACTAAATGTAGGTGCCGGCACCGTGAAAATGTTGCACAGAAAAACACAATATGCGGGTGTCATATCTTGAAGTCGACCCCACAACGTCAAACTTCTAACCATCGCACTGCTGATACGTCGAGTTTTATTTAAAGATGTTCTAAAATCCGTAGACATGGGCCGTTTTATTGCACTTAGAATGGCGCATAGCTGAATCAAGCTGAATAAATAGAGTAAAAATCGCATTGACAAAACGTCAAACACTAAAATATAAAATTAAGAGTTAATTAATTCGTTATATACCTTTGATTTCAGTAAGACGAAAACTTGTATCGTTTTATAAGCACACAACTCTTTACATTAACTAAACTGCTATTTCATTCTATAAATACTTACAAATAAAAATCTGGAATCACACCATTGTTTTTTCTTCTGCACAATCAGTACATCGATGTTGCTATTTCAGAAAAAAATGTTACCATTAAAAGTGGGTCATCATTGATCAGGAAACAAGTACACATAAAATGTTCGTTTACTTTCACTTATTAATCTAAGTTATAGCTGGTAATTTGTAATTTATAAAAGCGGTTTAAAATCAGGACTCATTTTTAGTCTAAATAGAATTGTCCACCCCAACGACCATGGGTAAGTAGAGAAGTACGTGATCGTAGAAATCGCGTAATCATGGTAATCAATGGAAAACAGGCAGGAATCTGCAGAACTGTTGCCTAGCAATGTTAGCAGGAAGCCAGTGGAATCTGGTCCGCACGTCTTGAAGCGCTAAAATCAGTCACGCACTCAAAATTATTTTGTGTAAAGGATCATGTTTGATAAAGAGTTAAGACGAAATGTACAGTGATACATCTCCACCAATAAACCAGTGTTTCTTAAAGCAGCATTAAGTGGTTTTATTTCCCCGTGTCCCGTAATGGGGGTGTACCGTTGATTATTCCTGGTCTACCCCCATGACTTCAATACTGCATGTTCGGGCTCAAACTCATCCCTCACTCATATTGTAGATTATGGTCCTTCGAGCCGGATTTGAAATATTACGATAACTGAAAAGGTTGGATTTACATTTAAATTAATATTGTTTTTTATTTGTATCTAATCAATTTTCACACCTGCAGCTTACATCTTAGAGGGATTTACATATTATATACTACTTTATACTATTTTGTGCGAAAGTTCTTTTGATTCTCCTACAACTCTACAATATTTGATCCAGGGGAAGTGGAGCAATAGAAATCAGCAAAGGAGAGCGCGGAGGCACGGAGTGAATATTAAGATTATTTCGTGATAATACTCCGCGATAATGTAAAAGTACAAATTCGTTTGAATTAAATAAAAAAAAATTCAGCCGTGATTAATAAATTATGTAGAAAATGGTAGTATATTGTTTTTAAACTGAACGTTTCGTTTTAATCTATTCAATTTCGTTCAACAACCAACTTTAAAAGTGTTTATGCATTTTCTTAAATTTCTCCATTCGTAAAATAATTTGAAAATGCCCAACATTTATAGCACAATAATAAAATAACTATAAAAGATAAAAAGTGTATCCAACTTTAGGACTCGAATTTAAAATAAATTATAAAACTCACTCACAACGTTTGCCCGATTTCCGAACACAAAGTAGTGATGTCGATTGTATACATGGCATATTTTAATTCGGTAATTTTTCGTGTAAATTATGAGATGAATAATTAAATTAATGAATTGTTTTTTAAAAAATGGCATTCGTCAGTGCTGTGACCGGCGATGATTCTACAAAGAAGTTCATGGACGTTTTACAAAATGACTTCAAAACACTCAGTTTGGAGACTAAAAAGAAATATCCTCAGATAAGAGAGGTTTTGTATCTTTATGTTTATATTGTTATAGAAATAATATTAAACTGTGAAAAAAATAAATAAAGCTGATGACACACACCAGCCGATCATGAAAATATTAAAAATAGTTCTTAATTTTTATTAGTATTGTAAATAAATATTCTCACAAGTAGGAGAATTAAACATCACAGTATTTTTTTCTCAGGAAATAAGTTTCTTATTAGAAGCCAGTAATTGGTGGATACACAAAGTGTTAACTAACCGAAGTTCTGTTTACTGATTGTTTAAACTATGAGTTATTTTTAAATCATTTACAAAGTAATCAATCTTATCTCCTTTGTAAGATACATATTTGTAATTTTTCAGGCATGTGATGAGGCTATAGAGAAATTAGCACTTGCTTCAAATAATCCACAAGCATCACTGTATGGAGTTGTGAACCAAATACTGTACCCTTTAGTACAAGGATGTGAATCAAAAGATATAAAAATTATTAAGGTAAAGATCAAAAGTCTCTTTTTTACTAGTTGAATTTGAAAAGTATATAAAAAAAGGTATTAAAAGCCCAATAAGGTAGAAATATTTTCATATTACATTTACATCAGAATTGCTTAGTTTATTTTTTTTTATTTTAAATAAAAATACAATTCATAAAAGCTAGTTTTGACCTTTACTTTGTCTGTAAAAAATAAAAAAAAAAAACTTATTAAGCCTAAGTATTCTTTCAGAGTATATTTTACATCTATGTCAAATTTTGTTGATGTCTGTAAAGCAGTTTAGGAAATAAGCAGTAAGAAACATACATCCATCCAAATCTATTCCATCCTATATATCTAAATTGCATTTTTAATACTGTATTAAGTAAGATTAAGATATTATTTCTCTTTAACTCATCAAAGCTGTATCTAAGTAGTATATTTCTAGTATTTTGGTGCCGGAGGCCTTATTTAAGTCCCTTTCCCTTTACCACCCTTTTCTTATAAGGAGAGGATGGGAAGGGGAAGTGGATTTGACGGTGGAGATGCATAGGAAGGGGAAATATCCTCGTTATATGCGTCTCCTCCTCCGTCGTATAGGGGTAGGCAACGCATCTGCAATTGCGGATGTCTATGGGCAGCGGTCGCTTTGCCATTTTGGCAGATTCAGGTGGCCGCTTGCTCATTTGTCACCTTATGTTATAAAAAAAAAAAAGAAAAGAAACTGTATTCTATTTTTTTTTTAACAACAATAAAGATGTTTTTTTTTATCTATGGTTACATTTCAACTTTTAACAACAGCTGATTCTTTTTTTAAATTTCCAGTTCTGTCTGGGCACCATACAACGTCTGATAGCACAGCAAGGTATAGATGCAAAGGGAGCCAGACATGTGGTGGACTGTCTGTACAACCTCGGCCAGGCTGGAGTATTAGAGCTAAAACTGCTACAGACCGCAGCATTGTTGATGACTACCTCAGATCTTGTACATGGAGATACATTAGCGAGGGTGAGCAATCACTTAATATTAAAGTCGGTTTTAATCAGTTTTATAATAGTTTTCATGTATTAATAGTTTCAATTATTGAACTAGCAATTAAATGTAATCTTGTCAGTTTGAAATCAAATAGGAAAAAATAAACCCTATGTTATTGACAGATAATTCAAATATATATGAAAATACAAATTTTTCCTCTTTGTAATATTAGTATACACTAGCTGTAGCTCACGACTTAGCGCGCGTGAAATTAAAAAATAAATAAAATACAGCCTATGTTACTCAACAATATCATAGCTTTTTAATGGTGCAAGAATTTATAAAATCAGCCCAGTAGTTTTTCAGTTATTCCATCGGCAAAGTAGTTTTTCAGTTACCAATATAATCTTTATAATATTAGTTCAGATATACAATTTAGTAAGCCTAGTTTAAATAAACTTAAGTCATGTGTAATACAAAAAGCCTTCTATAGTGTTGAAAAATTTTTCCTACCATGATTATTTTATGTACACAATTTTTATTCAGAATATCTGTAGAGATTTTTATTTTTTTAACATAATGACTTGTAATTCCCTTACCAATAACATATTTGTATTTGTAATCACACTAAAGCGGATAGGATACATAAATAATGTATTTTGTTTTAGTGATCATGTATCTTTGTTTCCAGACAATGGTAATGTGCATGCGTACAGTGTCAGCGAGTGAGGCGCGGGATGTGAGCACGAGCCACGCGGCCGCGGCCACCGTGCGCCAGCTAGTCGCACTTGTATTTGAACGAGCACTCGCTGAAGCTGATGGTAATGTCACTGAAATTCTTTAACATCTATTATTTCCTTACTCATGTAGGGCGCAGGGTTTTCGTCCTCCAAATAACTCTATCATCCATCATCTCTCTCTCCCTTCTTGAACACCGGTTATCACCTGTTTCATGAATTTGACATGCAAAGTGGAAGTTATTCCATGTGTGCTGGCCTATTTGCAGTCTTTCCCTTCCCACCTTCATAAGGAAAATATCTTAAGGGAAATTAGATTTAGCAGAAGGGTTGCATAGGAAATAGAAATATACTTTTTAAGTGTATCCATTCTTTTGTTGTTTTAAAGAGGGGAACGGTTTTGTATTGCGGATGTCTATAGGTAGTGATTGGATAATTTAGTCAATTTAAGTGGCCATCTTCTTACAAGTAAATTTAATATAAAAATACATAGAGATAAATAGTGTAATTGGTTGAATAAGAATTGCTTTTTCTTTAAGTTTCACATTGATATATATTCCTTGTGAATTTATTTCTTTAATTGTGTTTCAATTGTAATTTTATTTTTATTTTTATTTTTACTGTAATAATATACTTAAAACTAATGGCACGTGAATATATTATGTACCACTTTAATTGATTTGTTGCCGTCTAACGAATGTTTATTAAATCTTAAGAGCAGGACACTCGCGATACAGGGTGCGCCTACTGCGGGGCTACTGATTACTACAGATAGTCATTTCCTTTGTATCCAACAAAGCAATACAAATATATCTTTTATGTATTTATATTCTTGGATTTAAATAAATTATTTTTCTTTTTTTTTTCAATTATAACGTTGGCATGCAAGTTCTTTGTAAAAGAATAATTATTTCCTATTACAGGTAAATTGAAAGTGAATCCCGCAGATGTTAGGTTACAGACAAATACTAGAGCACCTAAAGAACTGAAGCCGTGTGCGACTGACGCTTATCTTATATTGCAAGTAAGTCTTACTTCAACATTTATGTATGTAAAAAAGCAAAGAAATTATACTAAGACTTAAAAACTTAATATACTTTTAATTTCTTTAATCACCCATAGTAATATTATGAAGATTTGAATTTTTGTATATATTGAAATAACTCAAAACTACTGGGCCGATTTCAAAAATTCTTTTAGCATTAAAAAACTACTTTGTCAGTGAGTAACATAGGGTATATTTTATATTTTTACACGGGCAAAGTCGCGAGCAATAGCTAGTAACAAATAAAATTGTTATCTTGTAGTTTTGGTTTTATCTGATGACAAGATTATTTTAATGTAAAAATCCATTAGTCTATAGTGTTATGTTAAATTGTTACAATTTTGTTGTTTTAATGTTTTTTTTTTCTTTTAAGGATATAATTCAATTGATAAACGGCGACGCGGCGCACTGGCTGGTCGGTATATCCGATGTTCCCAAGACATTCGGACTGGAACTCCTAGATACCGTACTCACAGATTTCTCTGAAGTATTCTTTAAAGTAAGATATGTTCTAGAAGTTTCTAGTTACGGAGAATTTTTTATAATATTGTATGTATTTTATTTTACTTTCAGATCCAAGAATTCAGATTTCTACTCAAAGAGCATGTGTGTGCTCTTATAATAAGACTGTTTTCGCCAAATGTCAAATACAGGTATTATAAGATTTTATCATCCCTTATCTTAAACTCTACAACCCTTTCTTAGACAATAAATTTTCACCCTATTAAAGAATTTACAAAGAATTTATTAGTATTTAGAAAATAGTCAAGTATTCTGAATTTTGTTATCCTGTAATAAATATTGAAATTTAAACTCTATTTTCACAGAATAGAGTAGCATTTACCATATATAGTTCTCTGAAATATAGCATTCAATTATCAACTCTATTTCTATAGGAATAAAGGCGTATTCACTACATATATATTTAAACCATAGACATTGAAATTTCAACTCTATTCTCATTGTAATAGAGCTGCGTTCACCGCGCTGCATATCCCCGGGGGTGGGGGCGGGGGCGCAGTCGCCGGAGCGGGGGCGGGGGCGGGCAGTCCGGCCCCCGAGCGGCCCCACTTCCCCGTCACCATGCGGCTGCTGCGCCTCGTCTCCATCATCGTGCACAAATACCATGAAGTGCTGGTCAGTGTCCTTAGTGTTAACTGCTCCTTAAAAGCCTGATTTTTTTTAATTAGATACAAAATGCATATACATACCCTTCATTGTGAAATCACATTTCATTTTCAATCACATTAGTAAATATTAAAGGGTATAAATTAAAAAAAAAGGAAACGATGTTTTATATATTTTCGTGATATGCTATTTTTGTTTTCTAAGTTGAAAATTATCATTCCAAGGTAACAGGTAAACAGCCTAATATTATAAATAACGCCAAATAGAAAGCACACTAAAGATAATCCTAAGTTACTAGTGATTTTATAAACAGATCTCTTGTTCTTGCTTAAAAAAAATTGTTTTTGAATACGTATTAAAAACTGTAAAACAGTGAAATCTCACGATTACCTTAAAGGCCATAGCTATAATACTTTTAAATGCCTGCAAACATGATATTTATTAACAAACTGGCTTTTGTCCGGGACTTCGATCGCGTGGAATTAAAAAATAATATAAAATACAGCTTATGTCTATTAAAAAGCTATGTTATTGCATAAAAAAAGAATTTTTAATATTGACCCAGTATTTTTGAGTCATTTCACTCAATACAAATATTTCCTTTTTATATTTTACATTAGGTGACGGAATGCGAAATCTTCCTGTCGCTGACCATCAAGTTCCTGGACCCCGACAAGCCGCTGTGGCAGCGCGCGCTGGCGCTGGAGGTGCTGCACAAGATGACCATACAGCCACGTAAATATTCCTTATAGATACTCGAATTTACTAAAATTTTCTATCTTTAACTAATATGATATAGTAATCGCAGTGTATTTTTTTTTATAAAAAGCTCTACTTATAAGCTAATTGTTTTCATGCTATTAAACTTAGGGGGTAAATAAATTGGAAAATAACTATGTGGGAAAGGTACCATAAATTACAAGCTGCCAACATCAAGAAAGTAAAATTGCCATTGTTATCATTTGTTCATTTGAATTTTGACATTTGCAATTTAAATTTCACAAATGTAAACAGTAAAATAAAATTTTTATAATATAATGTGGATTAAGAACAGAAACAATAAGTTTATAAATTACACTATTAAAATAAAGCGTAAACTCACTCTTTGTTGCCTAAGATGTTAGCAATTATAGCATATTTTTGAATAATTCTTTCTTTAATAAAAAGTCCTCCACTTACGTCATGCTTTAGGCTATATATTTTAAAGCCATTAAACTTAGGGGGTAAATATTTTATATAAAAACCCTAATGTGGGAAAGAGACCATAAGTTGCTGCCAACATCAAGAAAGCAAGGTTGCCATGGTTTGTCATCATGTCATGTCATTTTGACATTTGCAATTGAAAATTTGACACATGTAAACAATCAAATAATTTTATACTGATGAAATCGCACGGGATACACAGCTAATAATATTATGAAGAAGAAATATATGTATTTTTGGATTTTTATATGTATTTCATTAACTCAAAAACTACTGAACCGATTTTAAGTTATAAAATTGTTACAGATCTATTAAAGGCGTTCTGCGAGTGCTACGACATGAAGCCGCACGCCACCAACATCTTCCAGGACATCGTGAACGCGCTCGGCGCCTACGTGCAGAGCCTCTTCGTCGCCAACCAGCTCAACCAGCAGCTAGGTAGGCAGAGATTTGAAAAATCTTGACACAGCACTTTTTTCGTATATCTAGTATCAGCGCTAGGTTAAGACGCAGTTATGTGATGGCTCAGGGCGTTGGTAAGGGGCGCCTACAAATTTTCGCCCAGAGGGTAAGTAGCGATAAAACAAATACTTACAGATCTGACATCACCAAAACATGCTATTTACATAGTTATTCTAATCATGATATAGCATTTTAATCTGAAATAGGTTTGATCTGACTGAACTCAGAATCTACCGAGGATATTAAAAACTTTGAGTACAGTGAATACATTTCACTAAACAACATAGGAAACAGTATTAAAAACTGCATTAAATTAATTATATTTAGAAGTCTGTAAATGATGTACAAGATCACAGTCTTCGTTGTTAACTTGCACTCCGACGTAATCGATATCCGGCAGCAATATGTCACTGACGGCTATGACGTCACGCTCCGCCCCCTCCGTGGTAGGCCCCTCCCACACCTCTGGTTGCTCCTCCTCATATATTTCTTCCATCTTGTAAAAAGACTGGAGGAAATTGTCACCGCGACGACTCGAGTCACCTTAGGATAAATTTAAAATGAATAGACGATAGATATGACATTATTTGAACTTATGATTAAGACGTTAAAGGCCTGTCCCACCACTGGCTGATAGTTAAACATGACGTCACTGTCAGATAAGGTAACAAAACCCGATATTTCCATCACATATTTTACACGTCGGATTGTTATCAGACAATTCACAATTTGGTGGGAAGGCACAAGGCTTGATCACTCAAGGTATAATGTCTTGAAGTAAACGTTAATTTTGCTTAGACAATCCATTCACTAGACTAGACTACATCCTTTTTTAAGAACAGATGTTGTTCCTAGAAAAATTGTCTCGATAAAAATACATACCACAGTATGCCAAATAAAATAGGTCTTGAATTTTGTACATTGTAATGACAAGGTTGTTGGAGAAATAAGCATAAATAGTTATGTTTTGTGAACATCGCAATACACGCTATACTAACCGATTTCCGATCGTAATCTCTTGAACTGTCCGTCGTCTTCGGACAGCGTTTGCGTGTACAGATCGACGAACGCGCGACACGAACGTGTGCACTGCATGTAACTCCGGAATCTGTTAGATATGGTCGATAGATAGCATCCCAAGCGTTCACTGGATGGAGGATAAATTAACAGATAGCTATGAAATTTAACACAAATAAAGAACATTATCTATACTATCTATACTATATTATAATAAAGCGCAAACACACACTTTTTTGTTGCCTAAGATGTTAGCAATTACAGCATATTTATGAATAATGCTTTCTTTAATAAAAAGCCCTACATTTTCGTCACGTTATAGGCTATATATTTTCTCGCCATTGAACCCGGGGGGGGGGTAAATATTTTGGATAAAAAGCCTAATGTGGGAAGGAGACCATAAGTTGTTGCCAACATCAAGAAAGCAAGGTTGCCGTGGTTGGTCATCGTCATAACATTTTGAAATTTGCAATTGATAATTTGACATGTAACCAATAAAATAAAATTTTCACAACTTTATGCGGATGAAGTCGCACTGGAACAGCTAGTATACATATAAACTACTTGTTAAGTTTTTTTCATACCAGTTAAAGTCGCAGGCAAAAGCTAGGGTTATAAATTTAGACTATTATAAGGTGATTACTTACGTGCAATTTAACGCGAAAAAATCGAAAGTCCAAACTGGTACTACAGCGTCAGCGCACGTGCCCGGTGTGAAGCGGTACGTGCAGCGCATGTTCAGCTTATGACGACGTACTGTCCGTTAAATTGTAAACTGTCATTTTTTAAAGTCACTTATAACCTGCCGTCGAAACGACTCTACACAGTTTTCTATATGTGTAAAGTTCTATGGCTTTCGTATCTTATTTATACTTACTGTTTGTACTTCTAATTGTTAAAGGACTTATAATGTAGAGAAATAACTGTATACGAAAAACTTGCATTTTGATATATCATAGCTCAGTAGATTACTTTTACAATTGTATATCTGTTTTAAAAAGTATTGTGTTAAAATAGTTACTGTAGCTTTGAGTTTTTTTTTTAAATATGGAACAATTTAGATTAAAAATGCCTAATTTGGACACCAGCCAGTTTTATTTTATTTTTATTTTACTTCAATACAGCATCATCAGGACTTCCTCAGCAAGCCGGCTTCTACTGGAAAGGAGTGTGGCTACCCCTTTGTGTGACTTTCGAGCCGGGAACAGCTAAATCTGTGTAGTAAGTCATTTTAATCTTACTAATATTAAAAATGCGAAATTGTAGATGGATGGATGTTTGTTAGAGTTTGTAGCCTAAACTGCTAAACGGATCTCGATGATAGAAATGTAGATTATAGAAACATAGGCTATTTACTTTTTTTTATTTTTTTTATTTTCGCGCGGACGGAGTCGCGGCCGGAAACTACCCAAATAAATACATGAAATCGTTTAAAATTGTTACATATATTACACTGACTTATTCCATCACTTTTATCTATGTTACTTGAAATTACAATAATAATAGTAAATATCCTGCTCGAAGGACCGATTTAATGTTTATGTTTTTGTTGATAGTATAGAAATGTTGGACCGCAGCGAGGCGCCGAGTATTCAGGAGGGTTACGGCATCTCCGTGGCTTACGCCTGCCTCATGGAGATCATACGCTCCATCGCCATCAGCGTAGAAGGTGATGAGTATTTTAGGTGAGTTATAGCTCGGTGACATTTTAACTTCTGTTATTTCCTTAAAAAACATTTAGTAGTGGTTTTGAATATTATTTTTTTATAGGTTACAAGAATTATACGAAGACATCCAGAATGATAGTGAGGAAATTATTTCTAGCAAAAATGGAAATAACAATAAAGGTAATATTTTAGGGAGTGGATAAAAGATTATAAAAGGCATAGATTATATGAATAATATTGTTCTAGAAGTAGAAAGCACAACAGAAAGTACGGATATATCGAATAATGGTCACAGAGGAGAACCAGATCAGAACTCCAATGTGGTGCAGAAGATTAATACGGAAATAGAAGAGAAGGAGAAACTTGTTATGTTACAGGTATATTGTTAATTACTTTACAAAAAAGATAATTAACTTCTATTGTATAGAAGATTTGACTTATTTAAAATTTATTACTGCACTTATGCATACTAAACCCGCACTTATGTGACCATTTTATGACTCTGAGTACAGATTTTAGTACTCTTTATGCTTTGGCTAATAAAAGCAATGTTTACAGCTTATAAAGTCATCGTGGTGCGGCCTCGTGTGGGGCCTGTCAGTCCTAGCGGAGGCCAGCATCGGCGAGCTGGAGAACATCCTCTGTGCCATACAGACCCTGGCCAGGGTCAGCGGGAAGGTAGGTTTTTTTAAATTATTAACAAGAGAGTAAACGTCTGTTTTGACAAGATTACGTAAATCCACTTAATGATGACTGATAATTTTTATAAGGTAAAATAAAATGTGTTCTATTTGAATATGTGTATGTAATCGAATTCAGTTTAAATGTAAAATTATAACTAAGTAGCTGTTGCTCGCGACTTCGTTCGAGTGAAATTAAAAATACGTGAATAAAAGTGAGTGAAAATACAAATCTTTCCTGTTTATAATATTAGTATAGAAGAATCTAAAGATTTATTTATTACTAGCTTTCGCCCGCGACTTCGTTCGCGTGGAATTATAAAAAAAAATTAGTAGCCTATGTGTTCTTCCAGACTATCCTCTCCATCCAAACCAAATTTCATCGAAATCTTTTCAGCTGTTTAGGCTATAAACTCTAACAAACATCTATCCATCCATCAAAACTTTCGCATTTATAATATTAGTATGAAGTATGATAATTTTACCTGTAAATGGCTATAACCATAGACTATTTTTTTTTAATCTTTATGTTATCTGTACGTACATGCAGGTGGGCGTGTCAGGTTCGCGCGACGCGTGCGTGGCTGCGCTGTGCCGCGCGGCGCTGCCGGCGCAGTACTGCGTGCCGGTGCTGGGCGCGCTGGGGGCGCTGGCCTGCCCCTGGGCGCCGGCTGCCCGCGCCCCCCACCCCTCCGCACCAGACCTGCGGCACCACGTCGTGTGGGTCGGCACCCCCCTCCCCTGCGCACAACTGCCCACTGGTGAGATACATACTGTGCTAGCTTTCGACCGACACTTCGTCCCTGAATAATTAAAAAAAAACTAAGGTGCCTGTATTCTTCCGGACTATGCTCTACATCTGTGCCTTTCGTCGAGATCCGTTCAGCCGTTATGTGGCATACTCTAACAAACATCCATCCATCTAAACTTTCGAATTTATAATAAGATGTTCTTTCTGTCATATCCATATCCTTCCTCTAGATTTTACTAATATTATAAACAAGCTGTTGCCCGCGACTTCGTCCGCGCGGTATTAGAAAACATACAAACTATATAAATTACAAAAAGTTACGTATCCCTCGGGAACCGAAAATTTCTCGGGCATGAAACTTATCTCATGTGGACTCCAGACTTTGTTTTATATCTGTGCCAAATTTCAATAAGATATGTTGAACCGTTGCAGAATGATCGAGTAAATATTAAAAAACTAAATTAATGAATCCCACGGGAACCGTAACTATTCCCGGGATAAAAAGTAGCCTATGTGTTCTTCCAGACTATGCTCTAAACCTGTGCCAAATTTCATAGAGATCCGTTCAGCCGTTTAGACTACAAACACTAACATCCATCCATCCATCCATCCATCCATCCATCCATCTATCCATCCATCCATCCATCTAAACTTTCGCATTTATAATATTAGTAAGATTTGGAAATTTAGATAAACTGAACAGATCTCGATGAAATTTGGCATAGATGTAAAGGATAATCTGGAGGAATACATAGGCTACTTAATTTTGTGTTTTTATCGCGGAGTCGCAGGCGTAAGTTAGTTGTATCATAAAACTTGAACACTACGACTGCTTTGAAGCATTTGAAATCATTAAGAGGAAAGGATCGGAAGGAAAAGTGGATTTGCCGGCGGAGGACACGCACAGGAAGGGGAAATATACTTTTTTATGTTAGTCTCCTTTTCCGTTAATTAAGGGGTAACGCATTGGCAATTGCGGATGTCTGGACAACGGTTGTTTCGCCATTTCACCGAATTTCAGATGCCGCTTGCTCGTTTACGAACTTATAATATAAAAAAATTAAAATATCTTTGTATTCGGTGCAGGCCAGCAGCAGTCATTCGTGATGGTGACGTCCCGCCACGTGACCGCGATGAAGGCGCTGCTGAGCGCGGCGCGCCGCGACGGCGACACCATACAGCAGGCCTGGCTGCCCGTGCTCACCACGCTGCAGCACCTGGTAACTACACCACACTAACACATGACAACACTCCATCTTCTCCAAACAGATGCGTTGCCTGCCCTTAATTGACGTAGGAGGAGACGCACATAAAGAGGACATTTTCCCTTCCTATGCGTCTCCTCCACCGTCAAATCCACTTTTCCTTCCAATCCATTTCTCTTAAGAAAAGGGTGGAAAGGGAACGGGACCAAAATTGAGCATCCTCTTATTTTTATCGGAAAGTAATTGTCACAAAGTCATTTGACCCCTTAGGGATAACGTTAGTGTAAATTTCTCATTTAAAATCTTCACTGACTCTGAGTACTGCATTAAATTTCCTTACAGTCGAATAATGTTTGTATGTGTACTTTCAGGTGTGGATCCTTGGCCTGAAGCCGTCAACTGGCGGCAGTATGAAGGCGAGCCGCGCCAGTGCTGACGCCAACGCTGTCATGAGCACCAGCGCTGTCATGGCGGACTTGCCTGGTGAGCAATTACATATATATATATATTTTTTTTTATAATACGAGGTGACAAACGAGCAAGCGGCCACCTAAATCCACCGAAATGGAAAGCGACCGCTGCCCATAAACATCCGCAATTGCAGATGCGTTGCCTAACCTAATTGACGGAGGAGGAGACGCACATAAAGAGGACATTTCCCCTTCCTATGCGTCTCCTCCACCGTCAAATCCACTTTTCCCTCCCATCCTTTCCCTTTAAGAAAAGGGTGGAAAGGAAAAGGGACTAAAGTTAGGCCTCCGGCACCACACTCATCAGACGAAACGCGGAATTGCTTCCACTTCACGCCTGTTTTCTGTGTGGTCGTGGTATTACACCGCGCGAGCCGGCCTATTCGTGCGAAGATGTTAAAGCGGGCACTACCACTGTTAAATATATAGAGTTTTATTAAACACTAGCTGTTGCTCGCGACTTCGCCCGCGTGAAGATAAAATTATGATAAAAAGACATAGCCTATAAGAATTTTTGAAATCGACCCAGTAGTTTTTGAGTTATTTCAATACCTACAAAAATACAAATCTTTCCTCTTTATAATATTAGTATAGACAAGTACATTTTTGTATATTTAATTTGGTGCAAATTAACTTTAAACTGTAAAGAATAAATAAATATTAACAACTGATTTAATATCACTGGCACCCCTTAACTGTAACAAAAATTATATGAAAAAAGCCATAAAATGTCTATGCCTCTTTTTAGTCTGACACCCTATTGACAGTATTGAGTTTAGATTTTTTTACTTAGGTAGACAGAGATATGGAAAATACTTCCATTCGGTTTGTTGCACAAATGGTGTTATTAATTGGGTTTTTGGTATAAGAAATCTATCTAACTACTGAGAATGTAATTGTAATCTGTATTATTTTGTTATAAATGTTCACCCTGTATATAAATGTTGTAGTGAAATATATTTGCAGGTCAGCAAGTTCCCGTGGCCGAGTCTCTCGGAGTCATGAGCGGTACTTACTTCTCTATATATGTGTTTATTTGGAATTCCCTTTAACTTAACAAAAATTACTTAAACAGTACATTTTTGGCAACTACGAATGAATTTTATTAAAAACTAGCTGTTCCCATGCGGATTATAAAAACTTACGTTTGTCAAATAATCAATTGCAAATGTCAAAATGACATGATATGATGACAATCCATTGCAATCTTGTTTTCTTGATGTTGGCAGCAACTTATGGTCTCTTTCCCACATTAGTTTTTTTATCCAATTTATTTACCCACTAAGTTTTGTAGCGTGAAAATATATAGCCTAAAGCGTGACGTTAATGTAGGCCTTTTTATTGAAACAAAAATTATTTAAAAACATGCTGTAATTGCTGACATCTTAGGCAACAAAGAAGTGTGTGTTTACGCTTTATTATAATAGTATAGATTTTTGAATCTATTTTTCAAATATAAGTCCCTTTTTGTAATAATTTTAATTGTCACTTTCCTAGAGTTCCAAATAGACATAGTTGTCGTTTGTGCCATTACAAAATCCACTTTATTACTTGGTAATAAAGTTCATTTTCAAATATGATGTAAGGGCAGCAAAAGACAGGGGTTTAACAGCTTTTGTCCGTTACCGCATTGGGATGGAGCTTGCTGACCGTATTTACACGCAATAATTCACTGCAGAAATATATTTCAATGATATTGCTATCTCTATTGTTTTAAAGTGAGTGATAGAGACAGCAATAATCTGTTGCAATTTAATGTAATCACTAGTAAGTCATTGGGTATTTCTTTTAAATAATACTTTCAGACGTGTTTTTTTTTTATTTACTTGTTTTTTTTTTTGCTTTATGTGGTATTTTTAAGTACTTTGGTGGTACAAATATCCAATGATTGTTTCAATACAATTTTTCATTGCACGTGTGGAAAATGGGTTTTGCTTTTATTTATACATATATGTACATAGCTTATTTACACATAAAATATGAAATAGTAAAATGTTTGACAATTTAATATAAGAAAACACTTTTCTATCAAGAGAAATATTTTAAATCTCGGTTTACACTGTGTTTTAGATTACTTATATGTGGGATATCTTCAAAATATATTATATGTCGCTATGCAAAATATAAAATCAATACTTACTGCGTTGGCGCAGTTACCCGAAGTGGGTCTTGGCCTCCGACACGAGAGAGCGCCAGCCTCTTCTGTCCTGCGACGTCGTCTGCCAACCTATATATACTAACAAAATTTATTTGTATTTTATCTATCATATCCATTTGTATATTTTACACCAAAAATTTATACAGAACACTATAATACGCATGTAATATGGATTTTAATAACAACTAGCTGTTGCTCGAGACTTCGCCTGCGTTATTGCAAAATATAGTCTATGTTACTCACTAACAATGTAGCTTTTTAATGGTAAAGAACTTTTGATATCGGCCTATTGAGTTATTTCAATACATACAAAAATGTAAATCTTTATGTTATGAGTATAGATTATGGGTAAGGGTATATATCCAATCCATTAACAAATGGATATTTGCAGCTCTATCCGCGATGCTGTCGCGTGTCTTCGAATCTTCGAAGAACTTGGATGATGTGGCACTTCATCACCTTATTGACGCGCTTTGCAAACTATCCAATGAAGCTATGGAGCTTGCTTACTCTAATAGGGTAAGCAGAGTTTATACATAGCACAACTATCTATCAGCGCCCTTTATTGGAAACTAGCTAATGCCAGCGACTCTGCGGGGAAAAAAAAATTAAGTAACCTATGTGTTCTTGTAGACTATGCCCTACATCTATGCCAAATTTCATTGAAATCCGTTTAGTAATTTCAGTGGCAAACTAACAAACATCCATACATCCAAACTTTCGCATTTGTATTTAGTAAGATTGGTCAAGCGTCGGTGGCTCAGTGGTTTAAACACTTGACTTGTAATCTACAGGTCTTGGGTTCGAATCCCGCCATGTACCAATGTGATTTTCGATTTTTCGAACTTTCATATGTACATAATTTACCCGACGTTCTTACGGTGAAGGAAAACATCGTGATGCCTGCACATATCGGCGAAGAAATTCAAAGATATGTGTGAAGTCAACCAACCCGCACTTGGCCAGCGTGGTTGACTATGGCCTAGTCACCCCATATTAGGGTAGGCCCCGAACCCCTCCGTGGGGACGTATAGTGAGCTGGTGATGATGATGATGAATTTAAAAACTTATATGTAATAATATTTCAATAGTCAAGATTAAGTTAATTGTAATTAAAACACTATTTAAGTTCTAAGTAAATGTTAAGTTTTATTTATGAGGAATGTAATCAAAAATATAAGTTTTATTGTTTTGTTGATGTTTTTGTCTGTTATAGGAACCATCATTATTTGCTGTTGCGAAGCTTCTAGAAACGGGCTTAGCTAATATGCACAGGATCGAGGTTATGTGGAGGCCGATCACAAATCACCTTCTAGAAGTAAGTACGGATTCGTAAATTAACAACATTTATATCTCACTGATAAGTTTGAAATTAAAATTTTAATGCCTTCAAAAATATGTACTTTTTGTTTGACTTCTCTATGACACTAGCTGTTGCTCCTGACTTTGTCCGTGTGCAAAACATAGCCTATGTAATTAAGAGACAGCTAAGCTTTTTAATAGTGAAAGAATTTTTAAAATCAGCCCAGTAGTTTTTGAGTTATTTCAATAAATAATAAAAATATAAATGTACAAAATTTTTTATTTTTAATAGTAGTATCGATAAAATGTTAGGATATTTTGGTATTATTTTGTTGTTAATTTTATATATAATTACAGGTGTGCCAGCACCCGCATATCCGCATGCGCGAGTGGGGCGTGGAGGCGATCACATACCTCGTGCAGGCTGCCTTCCAGTACCACCACGCGCACCCCGCACTCGTCACTGATGTTAGTATAATATAAATACATAACAAGAATTTATATACTAACTAGCTGTCTGCAACTCCGTTCGCGTAGAATCTTATTAACCTTATCATACTTATGGATGAATGGATGGATGTTTGTTAGAGTTTGTAGCCTAAACGGCCGTCCTGAATGTGTGTGTCTGTAATTTTGAGTACGGATACGGGTAGTATATAAAAATTCTGGTGTCCACGATACAGGCATTGGCTAGTGTGGCCATCACCAGATTAACTCGAATAAAAAAAATGTAAAAAAAATACAAATCTTTCCTCTTTATATATTAGTTTAAGGGATGCGGCGATGAGAAGACGAAATAAAACACTAGGTTTCACAAACAACGGGTGCGCAATGTTCGTTCGCCGGTCGACGTACAAGTTATATGCCGACTACCCTCAAATTTCACTTTATTTTTTTCACTTAAAAACTACCAACTGTTTTTACATGTACTTCGGTAGAAGAGAGAGAAGAGAATAATACAAAAATACCATAGAAAGGCTTTTGAAATTCTATCATCAACAATTAGTAGAGATTAATATTGTATATATGTGTTGTGCAGGGTCGGCAGCGGCTGCTGCTGGAGCCGCTGGCGGAGCTGTGCGGCGTGCGGCACTGCGACGTGCGCGCGCGCCAGCTGGAGTGCGCCGCCAGGCTGCTGCACTCGCGCGGGGACCAGCTCGGCGCCGCCTGGCCGCTCATGGTCGACATCATCTCCGCGGTCTCCGAGAGGCACAGGTAACTACTGCTAATTGCTGTATGTGTAAAGAAAATATAGTAAACAAGTACACTCGAATTTTGTACCTCCATATAACGCAGATGTGACTCCCTATAACGCGGTTTTTTTAGTAATTGTTGAAAACCCTTATAACGTCATTAATAGCTATGCTCTGTTGAATAATGTGTTCAACGGTGGATTGCTATAATGAGGAACCATCAACCGCGTTATAGAAGGGCTTAGTTTATGTTCTAAGCTGCTTCTGTTATCTGATTCTTTGATATTTAGAGTATTTCGCCCTTGATCTATGAATGGTTTTTAAATCAAAGATTCAATGATTTACAGTAAGGATCTTACTTTGTGGTTACTTTATGCTATTGATTTATTGCATTAATGAAATTCAATTATTATTTT